CAACTGCTTTCTCCCCTTTAGCTGGCCAAATTGCTCATGAGCAAACCCGATGTCGTGAAGCACATGCTGAAAGGACCCGAGTACATTAACGTAGGTTTTAGTAAGCAGTTTGACACATGAAACTTGTAGCCGGAGTATCTCCATTCTTGTAACCACATCACTTGGTCTTGTCTTTCCCCCCCTTTTGTTCCTTTCAGGAGGCCTTGTGTTCGTTGGAAGAAGAGCTTAAAAGTTGGAACCGGTCCTCCAACTGAGTATAACGGAAGCCGAGAGGAAAGGAGCCTGCTGCCTAGGTGAAATTTTTTTTTTTTTTTGTTGGTCACCTTCCCCTGCTCCCCTCCCTGTCCAGGAGAAAGACGGCACAATTTTCTACCACTTCATGTTTCCATTCATATTCTCATTTGAATATTTCTAGTGAACGCACAGCTGTCTAAGCGCAGTACGCTTAACACACCTTTTTATTTCCCACCATCTTTAATTATTACTTTTTTTGTAATTAAACAGCATATATACATCAACGTAGCGCTTTTTTTTTTTTATTTTATTTATTTATTTTTTTTTTATTGCCCTTCTCTACTGTGGCTTGGATGCTAAAAAAGCATCCCCCCTCAAAATTTTCACGCGTATGGCATTTTTGTTTTTAATTTAGCGTGCCTCTCGTTGTGCGCCTCTCCATCTGCTTCACCCCACCTGTACAACTTAATTTCCTAATTCCTTGACAAATGAGCACCATGAATTAAATCTTTTATAAAAAGAAATACTTGCAAAATGGGAAGCGTTTTTTATAAGGTACCCCTTTCCAAAATTGTGCATATGCGCTCTTGGAGGTAGTGCTCTTACCGCTTTATTCTGCGCTGCTACTGTGCGCGTGGTTCACGCGGAATGGGTAAGAACTATGATAGATTGGTGTAAACTTTTTTAAGAGGACAAAAAAAAAAGGAAGTAAAAATTTACAAAAAATTAGCTTTCGCTAGGGAAAAAATGGCCATGTAAAGGTAGAAAGAGATACTTCACCCTCTCACCGTGCAGGCGCACATAACTGCATGCCTACCCTTTGCACAAACTGGTATATACATATTTCTGGGCACGTATGGGTCGCCCTTCCACCCAACTGCGGGGGGCACAGTTCCGGGCCTTAAAAAGGGTAGCTACAAAAATTCCTGCCACACGCATCTTTTTTTTTTGCGCGCGCCGCTTGTTCATTTTGCATCAATCCCATTTTGTGAGCTTTCCAACACGTTTAACAAAATGCTTCATACCGGCTCGGGATTCCTTTCCAACTGGTTCTGTCTAGTGACTGTTCTATTTTCCCTCAGGCGTTATTGCCCCTTTTCATCCGTGGTTCCGCTTCCCGATTGGGCAGATTCCCCAATTTGATTGGCCCCCTTGTTGTCACCCGCATTCGAATCCACAGCTGGTACTTCATCCTGGTTATCCAAATCGATAATATCGCTGTTATTTAAAAAATCGGTGTCTTCCATCTTGGAAAAGTCGTTATGACCAGATTCATTTAGATGGCCCTGATTTTTTGCAAATTCGTTTGCTTTGTTGGGGGTAGTTGCTGCTTCTTTTTTCTTTTTGTTGGATTTCTTCCCCCCCTTGTTTTCCTCCTTCGTATTATTTTGCTTCGCCTGACTGGGTTCTTCTTTTTTCTTGGTGGTGCCAAACGAGTTAATCATGTCGAAATTTCGGACGTCCTTTTCCATTTCTTCATTAAATTGATTTAGGAAAATATTCTCCACTTTTTCATGTCCGATTTCTTTTATTTCTTCAAGGATGTTCAAATCGATTAACTTTTTTAAAGAATTATAATTCTGCGTCCTTCCCAACGTTTTTACATTGTCAAAAATGGATTCACATTTGACGGCTTGCTCATACTCTGGAAAGTACTCCGGATTTTCATCCGGCGTTAGAATCAAAACGGGAGCGTTTGTATATACCTTATTTAGGTGTTCCTTCCACTTTACCAGAATTGTGGGCAGTAGGGATGGCTTATAAACTCTCGCAAAGAACGCAGCGTAGGCAAAACTATTGTTACTTAGAAGGATATCCACACATTTGTTCACTTTATGGAGAAGGAAGAAGCATATAAAGGCTATGTTAAACTTTTCGTTATTTATACACATGGTTCCTAACTCCTCCAACCCGAGTTTGTCACCCAGGGTAGACAAAATTATTAGCAAAGAGGAAAAGTCATTCGTTTTTTTGTAACAATAAATTGCCATCAGTATGTCATTATACACCAGTGCAGTGTCCCCTAAGGCTTTATACTTATTATGAATAAATGCGTTATTTTCCTTCTGTTCCAAGTCTTTGATTATGTCAACACACAGTTGCAGATTTCCGATGGACAGGGCCAACTCAAACTTCCTTTCCAAATCGGTACATATATTTAATGCTTCATTTTGGTGCCCCATTTTTTCTAAAAAGAGACTCAATTTGTTGTACAGAGACAGAGGAATTTTTTTTAATATCAAATTGGCCGACGCTAAATCCTTGTTCATTACATACTTCTGATATTGCAGGTACGTGATTGGAAGGAAAAAACTATGGAAGGTGTAATTCTTGTCAAGAAGAAAAATTCGATCGTACTCATACACGTAGCCACAGATGTAGAGGTACTTATCTATGTACGCGTAAATATCGATAAATTTTTTCGTGTAAATGTACAATCTTAAATTTTTGGAAACATACAAGAAGCTGTCATATATCCAGATTCCGCTTTCAATTGCTTCGTTAATTTCACTCTCCAGTTCAAAGTTGCCTTCTTCATCCTGTGCAGCATGCTTGTTATTCGCCTCGTGCTCACCTCCTGATGACGCTGCCGCAGATACGATATTATCTTCCTTCAAGGCGCCCCTACTTCCCTCTGCATTTAGGTAACTTAAAATATATATCGTATCCTCCGTGGTGAGAGCTACATACGTCCCGGCCTCATTCCAGTACACATTCTTCACATTAATGTCAATTTTTCGGACCATGGCATAGTCATTCCAGTCATAAAAGCAAATGAAATTATTCGATTTAACACCTAGGAGGTATCCCCCAAATAGCTGCGACACGGTGAAGGGGGCTTGAAACGAATGGTACGAAGTAAAATCTTTGTATATGTTAATTTTATTGCCTTCTTCCTTTATCGCATAGTCGCCATTATGTGCCCACACAAAGAAAGCACTTTTCCCATAGGCCTTATTCCTCAAAACTTGAGAAGTGTAAATATTAAATTCGTGGTGTCCACTCACACATATGAATCTTCCACTGGGATGGAAGGAAACATTGGTTGGGTAGAAGTCGCAATTCCCCAGCTCCTTCTTGTTCACTTTGTACAAATCCCCGTCATTATAATCGTCATTTTCGCTTACATTCTGCAAGTTGATAATATAAATATCCGTATTTTTTATGTAAATTATTTTATTTTTAAACATGGCAAAAATGGGTCTATCCGATCCTATCTGAATAACTACTAACCCTTCATCGTATCCTATGCACAAATCATTCTTTGTCTTTTTTGCACACAGGGACCAACATCGATCCATATTATAATTTAATGTATTCTCCAACTTAAACGTAGAGCTGTTCCATATCTTCACATTACAGTCCTCCGAGGAGGATACTATGATGGGTAAATTACTATGATAAATTAAGCAGGACACATTTTGCGTATGTCCGCTCAATACCTGTATGCACTGTTTCGTGTGGTAGTCCCATATGCGTATGGTTTTGTCGTCACTTCCACTTATTATGTAGGATGTTTCTCCACTGCACGAGTAGTCAATGCAATTCACCCCTTTTGTATGACCTGCCAAGGTAAAATGGGGCTTCGTAACCACTGGGGTATTGTTTTGCACTCCCCATATTTTTATCGTTTTATCTAAAGAGGCTGATGCAAAAATGTATGTATCTTTGGGATTAAATTTACACATCATTACGTAGTGAATATGATTTTCAAAGGAGCATAATTTCTCGAAATTATTTTCATAATCGTATAATTTTATGGTCATGTCATCTGAGCTGGTCAATACATATGGCAGAGTCTGGTGCACTTCGATATATCTTATATAATCCGTGTGATCCTCGAAGGATTTTATTTTCTCAAATGTGTTGTAATTGTAAACTCTAAGGGTCATGTCATCACCGGCACATAGAATCCATTGTTTTTTCTCAATAAATTTTGCACACCTTAAGGGGAAAACGGACACTTCTATGTTTTTAATCGTGTTCTGATTTGCATAATCGAAAATGATTAACTTCCCATTGTACAGCGCCGCCAGTATCCACGTTTCCGTTTCGTGAATGTCAACGCATTTTACTTTACCAATTCGGGAGTTTAGCTTCTTTTTTATATCTAGGTTGAGAGGCATATTATGGTGCTTGGGTGCGAGTCCAAAAAGATGCTTCCGTCTGGTGAGTTATCACAGAATGGTTGGTCACAATTTGGTTCTTCTTCAACTGCGTGTTGAGAATTTCACACGAATAAGTTCTACACGTGGGGGCAGAACTGCTACGAAGTTTTTTCTTAATCCCGGCGTTGTTTCTTAAATAGCCATACGTCTGTACAACTAAACAA